TGTCCCTAAAATATAGCCTTCTCTTGAAATTCAATATTCATATAATAAGTCTGATGAGAACTTCCTACTGTCCAGGTGAAGGGACAGAGGGAGGACAAGGGCATAGTCCTTATCTTGAAGGAGTATACACTCTTTTGGGAAGACAGATGAATAATGGAGCAATTATAGCAGGAACTCAGAGGAGGAACATTTAACATCTGAGATAGAGGAGGTGTATTGATTTCCTGGATGGAGGTGGAGGGGAGGGATAATTAAGCTCAAAGGAGAGTGGGTGGTGGAATGAAGCAGTAGGATGTAAGGTAAATCCATACGTGTAAAGCAGACTCATAGCATGTGGAAGACTGGAGAGAGAAGAGCCGAAGAAGCAGTCATGGCTACTTCATGAAGAATCCTTGCCAGGGAGTGTGTCATTTCTTTTGAAGGAAGTGAAGGGTAGGGCAGGGCGCTGAAGATGCATTCCATTCTAGATGCAAGTCTATAGCATTGGATTTTATTCTGAAAAAGGGTATTGGTGGAAGTTGAGACCAGTCATTACTGTTGGGGAACAGTAAGACTTGAGCAGAGCAGTGAAATATGCATTGCACAGCAATCTCCAATCAAGGCTCTTTGCAATTCTAATATGGCATACATTTAAACAGGGCATATGGAAATACTCAAAAAATGAAAGCTGCAATTTCTCCATGATTTTGGAGACACAATAAATACCATTTGTCACATACTCTACCTTGGGTAAACCATGGCTTCGTAATAGGTAAAACGGGCTTGCAATGTGCTTGGGTTATATTTTAAAGATGAATATAAATTTCGACAGTTCTTTCCTGCTCCAAGAACGTTTTGCTAGGAATTACCCAAACGGGAGTCAAAATGGTAGGGGGATAAGCAGTTTAAGTCACCAGGTCTGGGAGTAGAGAACCAGGGAAAAGACAAGGTGTTGTGGGGAGCTAGGACTGCCTCCTTGTGGCGGGGCTGGGCTAACTGGTAATACAGCATCTAAGGGTTTGGATTCTGATGCCAGCTGCTTATAACTCATCTGGGAATGGAAGAAGGACTGTGCACTTCTAGAAAAAAGCTAACCCATAAACGAAGAGGGTTCCTGGTATGGTGCTGTAGGATAAGCACTCGACTGCTAATCACAGGTTGGTGCTTCAAACCCACCAGATGCTCCTTGGAAACCCTGTATAGGGTCGCTGTGGGTCAGAACCCACTTGATGGCCCTGAACAACCACAAAAACAACAAGCAACCCTGGTGATGTAGTGAGTTAAATATTGGGCTATTAACTGCAAGGTTGGTGGTTCAAACATACTGGTTACTCTGTGGAAGAAAAATGAGACTGTCTGCTCCCATAAAGATTTACAGTCTTAGAAACCCTAATGTACAGTTCTACTCTGTCATATAGGGTATCTATGAGTTGGAGTCTTCGCAACTGCAGTGGGCTTTTTGTTTTGTTTTCTTTTAAAGCCATGCCATCAGAAAGGTTGTAGTGATTCCTTCTGTTTAAGGAGATAAACTTTATTTACCCCTACATAAAGCTTAGTCAAGGAGCTCTGCTAGCGTAGTGGTTACGAGTTGGGCTGCTAACCTCAAGGTTTGCAGTTCGAAACTACCAGCTGTTCTATGGGAGAAAGATGAATGTTTCTGCTTATGTAAAGATTTACAGCCTCGGAAACGCTATGCAGGGACGCTCCGAGTCAGAACCAACTCCACAGCACAGAACCATCACCACCACCAATGCTTACACATTTCATAAACCATACTTCAACATTAATAAACATCAATACAAAATATTCTAGTGTCTGTATGGAAAACAAACCCCACCTCTCTGCATTTGTGTTGATCAATCCAAGTTCCTTATTAATTCTCTTTCCTTCTGTTACAAGTTTCTCATGAAGTACTTCTTCCTCGGATCCTAACTACCCAGAGCTAGGTCAGAGCTCACAAGCTAAAGGGCACAATCATACAGTTCAGTCTACCTAAGACCTCAGATGTGGGATGGAAGCTTGGGAGCCTTCACAAATCATCACTTCTGACCTGCTGGCTCCTACTCCTCCTTCAGCTCCCATGATTCACAAAACTCAGGAAAATGCTATACTCACAGTTTTGTTTCTTTAAAACAACAAAAGGGATACAAATGAAGAGATGTACTAGGGAGTAACCTGGGATGATCCCCAGCATGGAGGTTCCATATCACAAAATGGGATGCACTGTCCTACCATGTTCAATGATGCCCATTAGCAACCATTGTAGGCATGAATGATTGAATCGGCCCTTGTATCTTGAGGTTGGGCTGATATCAAAGGGTGTGTCTTTCTGGCCTGATCAGGCCCCATGTAAGAACCATGCCATTAACTAACCTGTCTGGTAGCTGGAGGTCTGGAGTCCACATCATAGATGTTTTACCCACTGAAGGAAATTCAAATGTTTTAGAGGTTTTCTCTCAGGAACTAAGGCAAAGACCAAATTTGTGTGTGTGTGTGTGTGTGTGTGTGTGTGTGTGTGTTTGTGTGGTGGGGGTGGGTGGGAGTTAAACTCTTTACACATAGCCCTTCCATGACTTCAACAGACCATATCCATTGTTTGGTATACTTTTTCAGATCTAGCCAATATAGCTAGGATAGGCATTTAAACAAAGTATAAACACCATTGCTTACAGACTTCACATTATAGTATATACATTTTCCATGTGGCTACATGTTTTCCCTAATGTTTATCTGCATAATATGCTTCCAAAGCAAAACTAAGCCTATTGTGGCCGTGTCAAATTCTTACCCATAGCGACCCTACAGGACAGAACAGAACTGTCCTCATAGGGTTTCCAGACTGTAATCTTTTTGGAAACAGACTGCCTCATCTTTCTCCAGCACAATTGGTGAGTTTGGGCTAATGGTCTAATCATCTAACCACTGTGCCACAATGACGCCTCGAACAATATGCTACTGAATAGATATATGCTAATTTATTAAACTAGTCCTCAATTTTGGGGCATTTGGATTGTGTTAATTACAAAAAGGAGCCCTATAAGATAAACATTGGGCCATAATGTCAGTTTGAACTGCTAGGTTAATGGTTCAAACTTACCAACCACTCCTTGGAAACCCTATACAGAATTGCTATGAGTTGAAACTTACTCGACACCACTTAACAACAATTTAGGGGAAAAAATATTGTTAACTGTATTTATGTTAGAAATTCCACATAGATTTTTTATCAAATTCTTTTTCAAAATAAAAGGCAAACATTTTTGTAACCCTTCTTTCATGAAGTTTGTTTGTATACTGGCCTTGGTTGAGAGGAAGTTTGTAGTGTGCTGGCCTTTAGAATGACAAGGAGAATATGGTCTTCAGAGTCAGGAGAAAGTGACAGGGAGAGGTTAAGCCTCCAAGATGCAATGCAGTGATCTCAGCTTCAAGGACATCGAACTGTGAGTCCTTGGTAGGGTACCCAGCAGTCTCAATTTGCTCGGGAGTAAGAGGTTTCTTGGAAGACAAAACTTTCAATGATAAAACCAAGGAAGTCCTGGCAAAGATATGAGTTGGTCACTAGACCTTGGTATAAGAGAGGCGAATGAACCGAGAGGAACACCTCATTTCTGTGAGCCAGGCCTGTACCATAAAAAACAGTCTAGATATTTATCTCAGGTTATTGCTCTGCTTACAAAGGAACTGCTCATTTATTTTTTCAATAAGTATGTATGGCCCACTAGGCCCTGTTCTGGTGTGGCACTGTAGGATCTGCATTAGACTGTGAACCTCAAGGTCATCAGTTCAAACCCACCAGCTGCTCCTCAGAAACCCTATACAGGATCACTATGAGTCAGAACCAACTCCACGGCACTTAACACATTCCCTGCTCTTGAAGTGTTTCCATTGTGTGTGTGTGTGGTGGTGGTGGTGGTGGGGAAGTTGGGGGTGAGGGAGGCAGAAAAGAAACAAGAAATAAAGGAGAAAAATTCAGACATTGATAAATACTAATGCAAAAATAATATGAGTTAAGGAATGGAAACTGCAGGTGGTGGGTGCTATGAGCTTTCCGGTCAGCTACTGTTCTTCTAAAGAGCTGAAACTGGAGACAAGCCAGCAATGGGAAGAGGCAGCCTGGTGAAGATACACAGGACAGCATTAGGGGCAAAATGAAGAGCACATGCAAAGGCCGAGTAGAAGCCACCACCCAGCGTGCTGGGACTGTGGTAAAGAACTCTTCAGCTGTAGAGTAAGGAAAGACTGCTGAGTCTGAAGCAAGCTTCGTGGTGACCACTGCAAACTCCATTTTCACAAACGAGAATCCTAAGGATGCTGAGTCCCATATGCCGCGTTCATGGTTTCTCAGTTCTTAATCCAACACTGTTTTCACCAAGCCAGGCATGCCACACTGCCATTCTTCAATTCTTGGTTTGGGGAGTTCAGTTTCTTCCCCTCCCCCCCAACCTGGAAGTAAATCAGAGATTTATTTATTTTAGACATGAGAAAAATTAATACTGGAATTGCTTGTGAACAGACTGACCCGCCAAAGTATTGGTCCCGAGTAAGGCTCTATAAAACATGCTTCCAGAATATCAAGCTGGAAAGACATATTCTTACATAATCTGCAGCTGGTGTTAACTGAAAATGAAACTAACTGACGAGTTAGACAACCCTAACCAACTTTTCACCAGACCTTGAACTTCTGCAAGTTCAGACTACATGGGCGTTACAAGTAGAGGAAGTCCAAGGTTTGACCACAAATGATCCAACTAGTTTAAAGGGCAGAGAATGTACGCAGACACATCTAGAAGCTTGCCAACCAAAGAAAGAGATTGGGGGGTGGGGGAATAGGACAGAGGGCAAAGGAAATTTTGACTATAATTAAAGGTACAGGGCTGAAACCAAGGGCTATTCAAGTTCCTTCCTTCTGGGTGCGTTTAAAGCACTCCAACTGTGATGAGTGAGTTTGGAAACTGAAAGAGTTAACACATCGAAAACTAACACGGGGAGGAGAGAAAGACCACACCCCACGGGGGAGAGAAATCCTATTGGCTTTGAGGAGGCACGGAGCCAGTCCCTGGGCGAGGCCTGCAGGGAGCAGGCGATCTCCGGGGGAAGCAGGGGGCAGGACCAAGGCTGGAGCCGGTGCCCGTTTGGCCGCCGCCCACAGCCGCAGGGACCCCTCACTGCGCCTCAGCCAGGTGTACCCTCCTCGGCCCGCGGACCCCACGCTGCACTTCTCGCTGACATGTGCGCCTCTCGGATGCCGCCCCTGGCGCACATCTTCCGAGGGACGTTCGTCCACTCCACCTGGACCTGTCCCATGGAGGTGCTGCGAGATCACCTCCTTGGCGTGAGCGACAACGGCAAAGTAAGTGGGTGCGGGCGTCGCAAGGTCTGGCTCTCCGGGACTGGCGGGCGGGCGTGTAGGTAGAAGGGACCAGCGCCGTGAGCTGGAGCTCCTGGACTCGGGGATGAGAAGCGAACCCTGGGGCTCCGGAGTTGAACTTGAGCGTCTGGCTCTCCCAGAACTCAAGCAGAACCTTTGCGCTAAGTTCATGGGCTGGTTCGGGAGTAAAGTCTTCTCAGATGCTGGAGAAGTGGAGCGCTCATATCTGCAGCTGAATTCACAGCCGTCGGGACTGGCAGGGAAGCGGGGAGAGAGGCTATGGTATCCAAATCTCAGGGGTCCTTAATAAACCAGAACCTTGATTCATTCCTCTTTATATCTCCGAAGACTGGCACAGTGTCTGACATAGGATAGGAGGTCTACAAATTTGCTTTAATGTATTGTGGAAGAAGTGGGGAAGAGGAGAGGTTATTTAGTCAACATGGTTTAGCCCTTTCATTACATGGAATAAGGAAAGAAATGATTTCATCCAACTGATCATTCAACAGCGGCAATGATTCCGGTTAAACAACTTGTAATATACTAAAAAGACAGTCCAAGAGAAATTCTTTTTCTCTCTCTCCTCTCACAGAACAAAATCATTTGCTTGAATCAAAGCAAGCAGTTCCAATTTTAAGGTTCAAAATGTCTTCTATGAGTGAATCTTTTGTGCTTCCTTTTTCAAAAATCAAGATTTCTATTACCACATAGATAACTTGACATCTAATATTTACTGTTCCATACACACAGATGGTCACAGGAGTAGTCTGGCCAGTTTGCTTAGTGAAACCATTCCATTTTAGAAGAAAATACTGAATATGGGGATGGGATATTTATGAACTGTTGTGGATGTTGATCCCAACTAATTGTCATTGTTGGGAAAGATGCACATACTTGGTGTTTGTCTGGCCAAAGATTCTATTCTTAACTCAGTGATGCTGCTACCTGTTCAGTGTGTTTTGAATTCTGACTCGCATTTGGTGGTGGTGGTGGGATGGTGCTAACTAAATCTTTAAAGTCCTCGTGGCGCAGTGGTGAAAGCACTCCACAGCTAGCGAAATGGTCAGCCTTTGGAACGCACCAGCTGCTGTTTGGAGTCCTGGTGTGGCACTGTAGGAGAAGCACTAGACTGCAAGTTTGATTTGAACCCCAAGGTGGTGGTTCAAACCCACCAGCCACTCCTCAGGCCGCCATGAGTTGGAACCAACTCAACCGGCACTTAAGAGCAACAGCTGCTGTTTGATGTAGTGATTGGTTTCTGTAAAGATTTATAATCTTTGACCCTATGGAACAGTTCTACTCTGGCCTTCAGAGTCACTGCGAGTCAGAATAGATGGGAGGATCATGGGTTTGGTTGGTTTTTGGTTACCGAAAAACTATTTTATTTTTTTTATGTGCTTAAAAAAATTCTATCTGTGCATATTCATGGAATCTGCTATTGCGTTTCCTAGGTGATGGAACTCTCTGAGCTCTCCCAAGTGGGGCTGTGCCAGTAAACCCAGAAATCTATGAATAATTTCCTTGAATCTGGGAATTTTGGGAAAACCCCAGGTTTAAGTCTGGTTTCAGGGAGCAGAGGAGCTGAGACTGCCACACTGCTGGTCAAAGATTGGAAGTATTAACCTAATTACAAGGAACTGCCCAACTTCTGGGCTTCTTTTTAATTCATTTCCCATATGCAGAATGAAGCTGGTACAGGACCTGGCAGTGTCCCGATCTGCTGTATGAATCTGTTGTACATGGAGGTGCAATGAGTTGGAACCAACTCCATAACACCTGACAATGAACAACTTCCAGAATTTGTCATTGGGAGGGCAGCAGGAAAAAGAGTGGGCTGAGGACAGACTTTAGTAGAGCAGAGTGGGAAAAGGAAGTCATTCATCTAAAAAATTATCTTCTCTGAGGGTTGTACTGAAGAAGAATAGAAGAGTGTCTTGAACATGCAATTAGTAGTTAACTCAGGGAGTCTATTCTGAAATAGAGAACATGCTGAGATTATAAATTTAGAAAACATGCCATTCTGCCACAAGATAAAGTTAACTGGGAATTGAATACAAAGGTGAGGCAACAAAATCACTTAGCTTGAGGGTATACACTCTCGGGTCAGTAAATTGGTCATTGCGCATCACTCTCTTTCTTGGTGCCAGATAGTTGATTCCTAACTGTGTGTAAGAGGAGGGCCATACATATTTCAAGACTGAATTTCCTTCATTTTGAAATGGGGAATGACGCATTTCATGAGTTACTGGAATATATATGCATATATAAATGAAATAAACAAAATTTGCAAGGTTCTGAAAGAGCTAGATAGATTCCATGTGCTGAGTCACAGGAGCGTTACATTTTTATTGAGTTACTTAAAGCTGTTCTTAAGGAGTCCTGGTGGCACTGTGGGCTGAGTAAACACTGGGCTGCTGACGGAAAGATCAGTGATTCAAACCCACCAGTCGCTCTTCGGGAGAAAGGGGAGGCTGTCTGCTCCTGTAAAGATTTAGAGCCTCAGAAAAAAGAACTCATAAGAAATTGTTCTATGCTTTCCTACATATTGGGTTGTTATGAGTTGGAATCGACTCAATGGTAGTGGGTTTTTTTATTTTGTTGTTTTTTTCGTTGTTGTTTTTTTGAGGGGGTGGATTTAAAGCTGTTGGCAGCAAACCTTAGCAAGAAGAAGAAACACTTGGGTGGGGGTTAGGAGAGAGATGCTTGTTAAAATGCTGATTCCAGGGCCAGGTCTTTAGACCATCTGAATCTGTAGAGCTGGAATGAGCTCATTCATTGGCATTCTAACCAGTATTTCAGGAGACTGGGAAGAAGGTAGTGTGGTGAATTACATTTTAAGAAACTCTAACAGACAGGTTGTATGATGGGACTACTTGTATGGTGTAGGGGGGCCTGGTGTTTTCATATCCAGCCCAAGACTGGGGTAGCCTCTCAGAGAGAAGGAACTTGACTGACTGTCCTTCTCCCTTGCCCTTCTAGACCTCATCCTTCATTCCCTATAACTTCATTGTATCCCAAAGAATGATACTGATTAGAACTTCTAACTCATTAAAATAAAGTTCATCCAAAGTTAGGCTCATTTTCAAAAAATATTTCCATCATCAGCATTTTGAATGCCGAGATAGTTTATCTCAAATGAGTGGCATTGTTCAACTCAGATATTACTAAATTGCCTGATCTTCCCACATACAAAAGGGCAAGGTTAACTGTGTTGTTGTTAAGCACCATGGAGGTGGTTCCAACTTATAGTGACCCTGCACAGGGTTTCCGAGTCTGCAAATCTTTATGGGAGCAGAAAGCCTCATCTTTCTCCCGTGGAACAGCTGGTAGTTTTGAACTGCCGACCTTGATTTTAGCAGCCTGATTCTTAACCACGCTACCAGAGCTCCTTTGTTGTTTTTAGGTACCATCGAGTAGTGCCGACTCATAGAGACCTTATGCACAGCAGAACAAAACACTGCCTGATCCTGGGCCAACCTCACTGTTGTTGCCATGCTTGAGCCCATTGATGCTGCCACTTGGCCAGTCCATCTCGCTGGGGGTCTTCCTCTTTTTCTCTGACCCTTCATCCTACCAAACATGATATCCTTCTCCAACAACTGGTCCCTCCTGACAATATTTCTGAAGTATGAGAGATAAAGTTTGGCCATCCTGGCCTCCAAGGAGCACTCTGACTGAACAGATCTGTTGGTTCTATGGGCAGCTCATGGCACTTTCAATATTCTCCTCCAACACCACAACACAAAAGCATCAATTCTTCAACAGTCTTCCTTATTTACTGTCTAGCTTACATATCCATATGAGATTATTGAAATTACCATGGCTTGGGTCAGGTGCACCTTAGTCATCAAACTGACATCTTTGTTTTTCAACACTTTAAAAAGGTCCTGTGCAGCAGATTTGCCTAATGCAATACGTTGTTTGATTTCTTGACTGCTGCTTCTGTGAGTGTTGTGAATCCTTAATTCTTGCTCATTGAAGCATTTTCCATATGGTGTGATACTCATATAAGCCAAGTGATGCAGAAGGAAACCATGGCTTAGGATGAACCTCAAGTATGCCCTTCACTGTTCATATAATGAATCCACTGGAACATAATGAATGTTGCACCTGAGAATAATTAGCCTACAATGTATAGGCTCTTACATGTTATTTTCAATCTCTCAGTCTTCACAATAAACATAAAGAGAAACTATAGCTCCCACTTACAGATGAGGAAATTGAGACTCAGGAAATCATGTAGTCAAAGATGGAGCTGAATTGTGAATCCAGGTCTGTCTGATGTCCAAAGCTCATGTTCTCTTCACTATAGCAGTATTTATAGTAAGGGTATACTGATATTGAACCTGGCACTGGGGTTTATCACTGGAGATATATCGATGAGCAACACATGCAAACTCTGCCCTGCCCTGCCCGTGTGAAGTTGATAACAGGAGCAACTGTGATCTGCCAGGGCCCCTGATGGCTCCGTGGGTTAGGTGTTGGGCTGTTAACTGCAAAGTCGGCAGTTCAAATCCAGTGGCCACTCCATAGGAGAAAGATGAGGTTGTCTGCTCTCATAAAGATTTGCAGTCATGAAAACCATATGTAAGGTCACAACAAGTTGGAATGGACTCAATGACTGTGGGATTAGTTTGGTTTTGTATGATTGGTCAGAACTTGAACTCAGTGCCCTTAAGCTGTAACTTACCCTTTCTAATGCTTACCACTCTTGCTGTTTTTGTTGCTGCTAAGTGCCATCCAGTTCATTTGGATACACAGTAGAACTGCCCCTTAGGGTTTTCAAGGCTGTAATCTTTACTGGAACCTTCCTTTGTGGAGCCTCTGAGAGGGAATGAACTGCAAATCAAGTGCGTAACCTGTTGCGCCAAAAGACTGTTTCCATCCCTGCTAATACTGCTCAACTTGTCTCTATATACATTTGCCTTTTCTAGATATGAGGAGGCTTCAAAAAGTTTGTGGAAAATGAAATTAAAAGTTAA